CTTGTGACGACAACAGCGAAGATCGCCTAGGGGACTCGGAAAACTGTCAGGATAGCTTTCCGCAGCGATGAGCAACAGAAAGAGTAATCTCGAAATCGCTCCCAGATTCGCAACTGATGCGGGAGCATCTTTTGTTGACCCGATTGACATCCATTAATCGTATTTTCGGTAACGGTCAATCACCTCAATGATTGAAGCTCAATCCATGTCCTCTTGTTATTCCTTTTACCACTTGGCTGCAGTATGACCACATAAATGCAAATCAATAAATTGACTGATGACTCAAGAATCGTTGAATTCGATGCTGCAAGGTTCGCGTCGTAAGTTAATCAGTCGATTCTGACACCCACGTGAGTCTCACGGATTGCGTGGAGTATCCGCAATGTGGATTCCGCACAAAGCCTCCCACAATGTATATCCACAACTTTTCGCGAAGCACGGATATTACTGGCAGTCTAATGAGCGAGACTGGTCCTGGAACATGACAACTGTTGCCAGAATAGGAAACCGCGAGTTCTGAAGTTATCCCTCGATTGTATGTCGTGTGTTTGTATGAACCCACACGTCCTCGGGCGCACAAAATTCAGTCCGCACAAACGCTTTGTGGGGAACCTTCGCGCGCACATTCCTTAGGACACACTTTTGACACGTCATAATCCCGAGGAGATAGTTCAGTATACTGTAGATTCTACGCCATCATGTGACGATCAAGGTTTCACTTTTTTCCTCACTTCAAAATTATGAATAATACTCCTGGGGCCAGGCAGGACTGCGAGGTAGATTCCCAGACAACGAAGACCTCCAAGGCTACAAGAACTCCCAACATCATCCTCATGCTGGTGACAATGATGACTCTTGTTCTCGCTGATGCCTTCATGGTTGACGATATCACTCGCAAGACGGTCCAGAGCCCCGAGCCACGTTCTCTTCGTATGCAGGTGGTGAAGGAGGTTCCCGATAATTGCTTGAGTCATAACGACGGGTGGACCTATTGCGCGTTCATCCTCGAGGATTTTAATCAAGTCAATGGTGGCACACGGCTCGTCTCTAGTAAGGGTGACTGGAAAACGCTCGATCTCGAGCTTGGAGTGCTTCTCGCGGCGGACTCGAGCCCGACCGATGTGGGTATTTATGTCTCTGGTGTGAATATCTGGAAATTTGATATTTTCTGTGGCATCTCAGTTGAAGTGCAGTTAAGTGTACCAACTATCTCGA